TTCATGTCAGCAACCATTTTATGTACTGCACACTGAGACTCTCTAGTCATAACCTGAAACCGATTTCTGTAATCACAGAATGAAACCTTTTGTGTTCTAACCATCTTTATCTCCTGTTCTTCTCCCTTTCTTGTTCAACTCTTCATATTGTTCTTTCTTTTTCATAGATTTCACTGGGATTCCTTATCAGCTGATGCTGCTCTCTTTGCCCTGTCTGTGCCTCCTTTCTTTACCACCTTCTTCCTTAGATAGTCCATGGCTCTACTGCTCAATAATATTCTGGCTAGTTTTATAATTTTCCTATACCTGTCCTTTTCTTTCATATCTATCTGGCAAAACCCTACACCCAGTGAATGTAAACATGCCTTTATTCTTTGGGTAACTAGGAGATGGTAGAGAAAATCATTCAGCTGGGGCTCTCTGCACTTTAGCTTTCAATAGCGTTTCTCTGGTCACTTTACTGTCCCTCAGTCTGACACCTCAGAACTCTTTACAGTCTTCCAGTTGCATATCTTCCTGTCGCTACCCTCAGTTAGTGACCTTACCCCTTGTTTCATAAAGTAGAAGAAGAATCCAGTGGAACTTCCTCAGCTTCCCTCCACCCAACCCTCATGGGAACCTGCCTCTGCATCTGTGCTTCTGCTGTGCTCTCAGTCCTTGCTTGTTCCTCCTGTTCATCACCCACCTTCTCAGATGTTTTCACCTACTCGGTTTGTTTAACTGTTAATTAGATCCTCAACCCACTCCAGACTTCATTCAGTTGTCATCATAATGCCAGCTCTTGAAACCCACCTTGCAGGCCTTCTTCAATCCTCACCCTGCTCTCTGGCTGTTCCTATTCTGTCTGTCTAGACTTCAGATGGGGTGGTCTTCAGATTTCTCACCTTTTTTCCCCCTACTCTGAAGTCTAAACTCTTCCTAAATAATCTCACTTTTATATTGAATTCAGTCATAGATTATAAGCAAAAGAGTGAATTTTTATCTATAGTTCAGACTTTTATCAGGTCCCCAAGTCCTACTCAGGTGAAATTTCCAACGGGATCTCAAAAGCTTCTTAAAAACCTAAGTGTGAACTATGAGACCTTCCTTTCCCTTATCCTTTAACTCTTAATCGTCATATTCAATCCATTACCAACTCCAATAGGTTTTACCACTTAAATATTTATTGAATCTATTTTCTTCCATCTGTGTCATCATGGCCCATAATCTAAGACGACATCATCTTTTGCCATTATCATTTTTGCCTCTTAATTGGTCTATTCAAGTCTAATCTTATCCTCCAATATGTTGTTACATCACAACCAGAAAGTTTTCTCAAATGCAAACACAATTATTTAAGCCTTTTAGTGCCTTCCCATTAGTTTTATGATAAATTATTTCACATGATCTTGGACTTCATATAGCTCCTTGCCTATTTCTATAGCCTTCAATTTGCTGTTTTCCCCCATATTCTCTTATGGCTTATTGCTTCTTTCCACCACAGGTCCTTTGCACACATAGTTTCTTCTGTCAGCAATGACATTTCTCCCAGTTCTTACCTAATTAATGCTTACTTAGTACCTCAGCTCAAAGATCACTCTTATAGAGAATCTTTCCGATTTCTCAGCCTTCAACTGAGATAATTAGGCCCACGTATTGTCAGATCCCCGTTGTGGCCTGTACTTTCCCTTTCTAGTACCTGTCTCTGCTTGTAATTATTTGTGTGAGTGTTGACCAATGTCTGTCATTTTATTGAAATGTAAGTTTTCTGTGATGGACCATAGGTATTTAGCTTATCATTTTGTACCCATTGTACCTAATATCTAACACATCATAAATTATGTTTAAAAAGTATTTTTAAATACACAAATGAATGTGCTTTTAATCAATAGCCATTATAATAATTCTAAAAGTAAGTACTGATCATTCTTACCTTTTAGAAGAAAAAATTGAGGCTCTGAAATTAGGTAACTTGCCTGATATCATCCGGGTTGCATAAATAGTAGATCTGGATTCATTTTTGCTATTTCATTTTTATTATATTGTTTTATTGGTATAAAGATCTATTTTAAAAGATATGAAGTAGATATTTCATTTCAGAGTTTTGTTATGAAATTAAAATTATTTTTATTAGTAATATTAACTGCATGATATGGGGTCCAATGTGAGAAAAAAACAAAATAAAAATATCCTCCAGTTTAAATGAACTGAGAATGTGTTAGCAAATTTTAAAGTATATATTTTTTATCATTAAAAATAATAACATTCAAATATGCTTGTGAGAGGATCTTAAATAAAAAATGAAGATTATTAACTTATCTATAGTGAAATACTAATTACATAAAAGTGAACACAAAGAGACTAGAAAGAAGTCTACTTGCAGGTAATTCTTCTGGGTGATGGTGTTATGGGTAATTTATTTCCTCTGTATTTTCTCTATACTTGCCTGATTTTCTATAATGATAGTGTGTTATTTTTAAGTTTGCGTATAAAATACATTTATTAAATAAACACTGGTGAAATAATAAGTATAGGGAAGAAAATTTTAAAGAATACACAATCATACCTTAGTAGTTATAAGATCTATTTGATAATCCTTAAGTCTGATAATAATCTGGTGGCTCAGCTGCTAGTCAGTTTTTACTTCTCAATTGATAATCAAGTAGTTGTCTCCTTAAAATTTTAAAATGTTTATATTGATAAAGATATACTTCATGATATGTTAGAGACTGAAGGAATAAACAGGAATTTCTTCATTTATTAAAAGGAAATTAACACCTTCCAAACATTAACTTATAAAATATGTTACTGATCCAACGTTTTGTAAACCTTTGTTTGTGTTATACTTATCAGCATATGTGGTTACTTCACATTTACTTATCCTCTCCCCTTGTTTCCTTCTGATTACAAACAGCAAAAAACCTGTGTAACTTCATACTTATCAATAACTCATTGAGACATCTCAGCTGAAATCTTCTTTGCACCTCACCCACAGTTCTATTGCAAGATTCCCTTCTGTAGCTTTAGAAACACTAGTGCATGGACACTAACTTTGCTTTTGCCCTTGTGGACAAGGGAAAATGCTTACAATAGTTCACATGATATCTTCTTAATAGCATTCCTTACCAAATCAAGCAAGAATGTGAGTAGAATAAAATCTCATAGGTTTTGCATGAAATCTATTTTAGCCACAATTTTGTTATCTGGAATTAATTATTTGATTGATTGCTTATACTTACAAACTATTTATTAATTGCTTATATTCTTTAGATATCATGTTAGGCCTTGTAGGAAGATTAGAAGAGAAAAAAATACAATCTACCATCACTGTACACCAGAACTTTCTATGATGGAAATGTTCTATACCTGTGCTTTCTAATCCATTAGCCACATGCAGATATTGAATGCTTGACATGTAGTTGGTGTGACTGTGAGTCTGAATTGTTAATTTAATATTTTAAATAACAGCTTTATTGAGATATAATTGAATTCTATTGTATTGTATTGTACATATAATTCATTGATATTTTACTATATGCAAAGTTGTGCAGTTATCACCACAATCAATTTTTGAACATTTTCATTACTCTAGCAAGAAACCTGGTACTCATAGCAATTGCTCCCATTTTCCCCCAACTTCCCCAGCTCTAGGCAGCTGCAACTCCCCACACCCCCAACTCCATGGATTCTCCTATTTTGAACTTTTCATCTAAATAGAATTTGGTCTTTTGTGATTCACTAATTTAATTTTAGTTTGTTTAAATTTAATAGTCATATGTGGTGAGTAACTATCATAAGAAGCAAGAGAAGTAAAAAGACCAAAGACAGATGCTTAAGGAATGCTGAAGACTTAAGAGAAGAAAATCCTCTAAAAGGTGCATAGGGAAGACAGATCAAAGAGATAGGAGATGAGTCTGGATAAAGTCTACAGCTAAGACAGGATCCTGAAGTAGAGGATGGTTAATTATACCAAATAATGCAGGGGAGTCAAAGAAGCATAGCTTCAGTATGGTGATAGTATAAAGACTCTTGATGCCAAAGGACACTGCAGCATGGTGTTGGTGAGCAAGCATAGGCAGGTAGGCTGTGCTTTTATGTCATCAAGAGATGGAGGGAAGGAAGAAAAATTCAAGACAGCTTGAGAAGGATGTCGGGATTGATGAAAAATGGTTGCTGTTAGTGATATTTTCCTGGAAACTGGAGCCTACCTGTAGGCAGAAGACAGGGATTCAGTCTCTGAGAATGTGGGTGAATGTAGCACTATGTTTATTAACATAGGAGTAACTTCTACCATAGAGTTAGACATCATTGTTCTCAGAAGCAGAAGCAAGTGAAGAAAATGTAGGTGAAAATACAGAGCAAATTTTACATAGAAAGAAAGGAAATTCAGAGTTAATTTACTTTGGGAAATTTGAATGAGGCCTTCTGAGGGTAAAATTTGGGTCCTCCTGCTGCACTGTGATCCTAACTGGAGAAGGGTGGAGAAGGAGGGAGCATGGGAAGGATCTTCAAATGGTTTGGGGCCATGGGTGTCATGGGTTTCAGTCACTTATACGTCCACAGCTCACTCAACCTTCCTTCTTTCCTCTTTCCTCACCTCCTTCATTCTTTCTTTTGTTCCTTTCTTTTATCCATCTATTCTTACACTTGTAGCAAACAGTGCCTTTTGCTCTATAGTGTTCTCTGCCCTACAAGAAAAAATGGAAACAAAACATAAAGCTTTTAATCCATATTACAAGATATGAATTTCATGAGTTATAATAATAAACTAGCATTTTCTTAATTTTTGAGTCACTTTTCCCCCGATATTGTCATAGTGGAAGATCTAGGAAGTATTTTGAAAATTCTCAATAAAAACAGGTATGCTAATGTAAGAGAAAAAGGTACAAGGTAGTCGATATTGAATTAATTAATGACATTGTTTTAGAGCAAATCTATATAGATTTCTTAGATCCTAAAAATCAACTTTTATGGTCTTTTCAACATGTAAACATATATTTACATATGTTTTTCTCTTTTAGGCTTTTAAAACCAAGGATGGCTATTTTGTAGTTGGAGCAGGAAATGACCAACAGTTTGCTACTGTGTGCAAGGTAATCCATAATCACTGGGATGAGTAGATGATATATGCAATAATTCATTTTGTGCAAAGTTAGGGCAAGTTTAGTTTTGCCTAGCACAATGATGCTAAGTCAATAACCAAGTTAGAACCCCGTACATTAGTACCTAAAAATATACCATTTTCAAACTTATCATACATGATAATGACTGGATTTGAATTAGCACACAATTTTTTAAAATTATAACATTCAGTTGGATTTTGAAATGAAGAAGTTAGCTTAAATTGTTCTCAAACTTTATATATCTATTAGTCAATATTAAAAGGGGAAGAAAAGAAAATGAATTTTAAAGCAATATTTAACAATGGGAATTTTCCTCCCCTCCTTCCTTCTCCTAGGTCTTTTGTTTTTATTTAAGACCTTAGATATCAGTTTACTTTTCCCCTCCTTCGCTCTCTTCTTTCCTTCCTTTTTTTTTCTTACTGTCTTCCTTCTTTCCTTTTTCTGCCTCCCTTTCTCTCTCCCTTCTTCCTTCCTTCCTTCCTTCAAATATCAGGTTTAATTAGGTCCATATATAGTTAAACACTCCCAAATTTATTTTGTTCATCATTAAAAAATTTCAAACTTTTTCAAAAATTAACCTTTGCTTAGAGTATCTTTTATCAAAATTTATGTTTAAAGATTTTATAAATTAAGGTTGTATTAGAATGTTGTTCCTAACCAAGGCCTGAAAAAAAGGCCTTGGAATCATTTAAAATAACATGGTAGGGATATTCTAAATTTTAAACATTGCCTAGACATTTAAAAAATGTTTTATTATATATATCTAGAACTTTTGTCCTTTGTTTTTACTTAAGACATTAGATATGAGTTTACTTTTTCCAGTTTTCTTTTTCTTTTTCTTGGATGTAGAAAAAGAAAAGGCTTTACTTATTGAGAATTTTCTTCTGATTGGAGGATTAGTTTTTTTGCTAACCACATTATTGTGAGCTTTCAGCTTTTTAAAAGATGCCTGTGAGTTCCTTGGAGGAAACTTATTTATTATAGTAAATTTATTATGTACAAAAAGTATTTATTACTGCACCTCTTTTATATGAGGTTAATGAGCAGAGCTAAAAACCACAGCAAAGTGGTGGGAAGTACCACAGTAAAGGTGACAAATGGAGATAGTTCCGACTGTAGAAAGGGCTGGCACATCTGAGGTGGGAAGGAAGGGAGCTTTTATATAATGGTGACTCAGTAAGTGTAGAGAAAATTGATTCAAACATTTGATCTGGGATCAAAGAATCTTTATTATGAATGGTCAATGTTAAAAATATGAAACATACGGAAGTCCTTGCCTGTGAAGTCATTTGCGTACTCTAACTGCAGAGATGTAAAAGCTGGTTCATTGCTCTAAACAAGTACAGATTTTCTTCCTGGGCCATATGTTTTGGAGTTTTCTCTCTCTCTAAAAAAAAAAAAAATTAAAAAGGAAAGGAAAAAAAAGGTGGGGAGGAGGACTGGTTGACATATTCTTCACTGTTGAAAATAACGATACTGAATACTTTTAATTTTTGATTCATTACTGTTGATCAATTTGAAACTTTTGAACTTCTTTATAAATATTTGTAAGAACATTTCAAAAAAGATTTTCATTTTAAAGCAGAATATTTGCCATAATTGTTAGTACTAAAGTTATGACTTATTGGTATGGTGTGTAACTATATAGTTTTTTTTTTTTTTTAAAGGCCATCAGAGGCCTGGGAGAATGGCACACCTTAATTTTCCCATATGTGAATCAGAAATGATAATCCCTCTTTGAACCATTAAGGAGATGTCTACAAAAACTCTTTGAGGTCCTCTGAAGAATAATTTTGTGTGTATGGGATTTTAGTGTTATTTACATAATTTACTAGGCATCTTGAGTGAGTGCTGCAATTTGGTCTTCTCAATCTTCAGAGCCAGTTATATGCTTACATGTAAACCTGTCCTAAAAATATTCTTACCAAAGAAAAGTCCTGTTTTCCTACTTGGATGCAAAGTTCTCTTATTCTCCCAGTCATTTTTAGTGACTATAGTTAAGTATTTTTAATTCAAATATACCTATTGATGAGGGATTCATTGCTCAAACTGTCCTTATAGAAGGTGAGGTCCCCTTCATTGTTTTTGCTGATTGTTTTTGACAATGAGCCTATAAAAATTGTTCTTTTTATAAGTAAGTTTCATCAGGAAGAAAGTTTCAGACAGCTGTACCTCCTGGGGAGAAATGTGGCAGCATTGTTTGTGATGAATGAATGGGATTTACTTATCCCTTCTCTTTCCAAAATAGAATTTGATATACTGGTTGATTAATACATTTTGAGGAGGGTTTCCATTAGGGAACTCTTAGGGTCAGGGGTTGGAATGGAGCAAGAACATTGGTTCAAGACTTGGCTGTCAGAATGTCTTGCTGTGTATAAAATGAACCTTGGTTTGTAACAAATTTTATTTTATGTCCCTTAACATGATACAGAAGGGTAGGGAAAGTGAGCATATGTAAGCTATTTTAAGCTGATTGATGCCAACACTAATGGGTATTTCTATTTGAAGTATATTGACATCCTTTTAAAAATCATTTAGACTGAAGGCTTCTTTTATTGGAGGCAATATGCATTGGTTCTCAACTTTAGTATGCATAAGAATCTCCTGGAGGCCCATTCTCAAAGACTTGATTTAGTGTGTCTGATGTGGGTCACAGGGAACTTCAATTTTAACAAGCACTGTAGTTGATTTTGGGGTAGGTGGTCTGAGGACACTCTAGCATAATTCTTAAGGCCTACTGTAAATCTTGTTACTAGTCAGGTAACCTCTGGCAAGGTACTGAATCTTACCTAAGCTTCCGTTTCTCCATGTATAAAATGTAGACTAAAACACATAACTACAATAACTTGAATGGTTTCTTAAGAGTTTGATTAGGTAAGTAAAACAGTACAATCCTGGCTCATAGTATGCACTTATAAATGGTCTCTATCAAAATTGGATGGGAGATTGTGATTCTAGGGAGGATCCAGTAAGTACTCTTCTCCCTACTCTTCCACCCAGCACAGTGATAAAACCTATGCAGAACGCATGGAGTATCTGAGGATTCTGAAAAGTGAACAGTAGGAGAATTGAGTAAGAACCTCAGAATTTAGAGTACTTCTAAACTGGCAGTAAATTTACCAGTTTTTCCATTATATGAATACAGTGGAGCCTGAAGCTGTAAAGTGGATGCCAGGCACCAAAGCTAAGATCCAGAGATGCTCTTTATTTCTGGTGCAAGGAACCTGAAAAGTAAGCTCTAATGTAAGAGTGTGGAAGTCCTGTTTTTTTCCCTCCCCACTTTCTCATGCCCAGCCCTTGAGTAATCCTGTAAGTGGCAGGAAATTTCATCTTCATTGCTTAACTGAGGTCCTAAAGAAGGGATGAATCTTTATTGCTTTTTTCTCTATTTTTCCACTGCTTAGCTTTTCTTCCCTGGAAGTATGCTTGAGAGTGGGGTAACTAATGGGAAGCCCCAGGGAACTGGAAAGTTCTGGAGAGATTGCAAAGAGTGAAGATCTTTGAAAAGCAATCCTTGAAGTTGTTTCTGAACTCCTGGGCTCACCCCTGAGCTGCACATGCACCGGTCTGATTCTAATTAGCATACCAAACATCTTGAGAACAGGGTTGACAATAGATGACTGCCCCAGTTGTAGTGTGATGGACTGTTAAGTGAGGCATATGTAGGACACATTCAAATAACACTGCAAAGACTTTGAAACTGAACCAACATTAGAACCGAACACATAGAAGGTAGTTGGGAACTTGTAGCTTGGACCTAACCAGGTCAGTTGTTTGCAGAAAACAAAAACATCAAAAATGTTCTATAGGGCCTGGGATTGTGGCTCAGTGGTAGAGTGCTTGCTTTGCACTGGTGTGGCACTGGGTTTGGTCCTCAACACCACATAAAAGCAAAAAAATAAAAATAAATAAAGTTTAAATAAAAAAATGCTCTGTAGGATTCAAACAAGACCCAGGGACTCCTGACACAATATTCAAAACATCCAAGATACAGTCCAAAATTATTCAGCATATGAAGAACCAGAACTTGCATGACAAAAGACAATCAATAAATAACACAGATGTTGGAATTAACTCATGAAGACTTTAAAACAGCTATTATAAAAATGCTCTAACAAGCTTTATAGACACTGTTGAAATAAATGGAAAAGTAGAATTGTTTAGAAAGAAATAGAAGATATGAAAAAAGAAGGAAATTCTAGAACTGAAAAGGACAATAACTAAGAAAATAAATAATACTTTACTGGAGATGACAGAGAAAATAATCAAGGATTTGGGAAATAAATCCATAAAAATTATTCAGGCTGAACAACAGATAGAGTAACAGTAGCCCTTTTTTACTCTAAATCAATTATTGAACATCTGTATAGAAGAAAATAGTAACCAAAATCAAAATTGATAAATGTAATACTAAAAATTTTCAAAAAATTTCTATCTTTCTGGATAGGAAAGGGAAAACAAAAGAATGAAAAAAATAATAAATTCCAATAGTAACCTCAAAGTATCAATTACAACATTAAATGTGAATGACTTAACCACACCAATGAAAAGACAGATGTTGTCAGAAAAGATAGGAGAAACAAACAAAAAACAACAGCCAGGTGTGGTGTCACAACCTGTAGTCCCAGTGACTGAGGAGGTTGAGGGAGGAGGATCACAATTTTGAGGCCAGCCTCAGCAACTTAGAGAGATCCTAAGCAACTTAGGAGACCCTTCCTCAAAAAATAAAAATGGACTAGGGATGTAGCTCAGTGGTAAAGCACCCTTAGGTTCAATCCCCAGAACCTACCAACCCCTCCAAAAGAGTGGGAAGTTAAGGTTTGAGCAGATTTAATAAAAGAAAGAGTTAGCCAACTGAATGTCTGATGGAAGATGTTCCAGCCAAGGAGGTAGTTGACTGTTAAAAGTCCTGAGGCCCACATATGGTAGACATATTCCTGTTCCAGCAAGAAGCTAGCACTGTTGCAGTGAGGAACCTAGGGGGAAAATATGGTAGAAGGTGATGTCAGGGGTAACTGACTCTGCTCTGTGGAGCCTTTGAGGCTGTCATAAGGAGGCTGTTGTCAGCTATTTGTGTCATCAGGTGATGGGAGCACTAGAGTTCTTTGCCGTTTCAGCTATCATGTTTTACTATTTTTATGGAGCCAGTCTTCTTTTTCTTCCCTCTCTTTTTTGAACAATTATATCTCTTTATCATTTCTTTTAAGGGAAACATTGCTTAGCTGCAATAGTTCACATTTATTTAGAGCTCAGTAGTTAAGCATTTTTTCATAGACAGTTTCATTTTATCCCAGGCAGCACTTTTTTTCAAGCCCCTGAAGAATGTATGTGATCACAGCCCCTGAAGATGTCTGTCTAGAAACATTTTGAACATTGGCCAGCATAGCTGCAGACAGAAGGACAATTACTTTGACCCACCATTTCACACCAACTTTAAAAGAGAAAAGAGGTTCAAAAAGTCAAATACAGAGGACATGTGGGCACCTCAGTCTCCCTTGCATGTAGTCACTCTGTACATTTTTATGTAGCTATGGTGTATTCTGGGTGAGGCCAGACTTATAAATTTTACCTATGATTTTTTGAAGGCACTTGTTTTTTCTTTAAATGACTTCTGAACTCCCAATTGGGGAGGCTTTCTGACCACTGGACAAGCCTTGAGACCATCCTGGGATCAGATGTGCTGATAGTGAGGTTTCTAGCAAAAGCACTGTATTTGGTGTGGCCATTTTTAAAATCTGGGAGAGTAACGCTGTCTATATCATTCCCTAAGGGAAACGAGTAAGTGGAACATGTGAAAGAGGAATTACACCATTGAGATGGTCTCTTTGCTCCAGGGAATCTTCTTCACTTCTCTCTCCTTTGTAAGATGATTAATGGATTGATTTTATTTAAACTGTGGGAAACAAATGAAACCATTAAAGGCAGCGGAGCACAACAGACACTAGTATGGCAATTTGTAAATCAATGGATGTGTAACTGATGTGAATCTGCAATCTGTGTATGGGGTGAAGGTGGGAGTTCATAACCCACTAGAATCAAAGTGTGGAATATGATATGTCAAGAAATTTGTAATGTTTTGAACAACCCACAATAAAAAATTAAAAAAAAAAATGTTTATATTGAAAGCAAATACATAATAAAGGCAGTGAAGTTTTCTGTATGCCACATGGCCTGCCCCCAACCCATAAATGCGCCTTCTGACTTTCCAACACAACCGCCAAACCCTGCCTCCACACATTCTTTTCAAAACGTCTTTTTCATTCCAAATCCACTTGGTACTTTCATTATGGTCTTGTTAAAATTGCAAGATGTCCAAAGGGATTTGCAAGATAGATTTTCCCTTTAGTGAGAAGCAGCAAAAGAGGAAGTATATAAAAGCATTTCTAGTCGGTATTCCTTCAGGGAGACATACTAAAGAAAAGTAGTGTCACTCCTATAGCAAGAAGATCTTTTAATTTGATGTCATTTTAATGGTTAGCATTTGGGCAAATGTATGGCTTTCCCTTTATTTTAGCACTTTGTACAACATCCTGGATAGTACTATTGGGACAGATAATATTATTTTATTTACATGTGGAACAAATAAGTGAAGGTACCTATAAGATATGTTGATTGTGGGCTTCATGTAAGGGCAGGCATGTACTTAGGATTTTGGTTCATAAAATTAGGTCAGTTTTATCTGATTTTGAACCTCTCTCCATATTTTGTTCAGATAAGACTTTTTGCGGATCTGATAACTCTTCTCATAATCTCATATATGAGTACAAGATATTATGGAGGTCTGAAAACTTTTTCTATGCTCTCATTGTAGGCATAAATGTAGTGAAACCTTCTTGTAAATGACAAACCTATTCATTGGCATGACCCATCCTAATTGTGTGATTGTTTCTTCCATATCCCCTTGTTGAGAGTTATAAAGATCAGAAAGGAATGGTCTTGGAAGGGACACTTTCATAACACTCTAAACTTCTCTTTGTGGGTTTTTGGATCTGAATGAACACATGAGAGGTTTTTCCACGTTGAAAATTTCATCTATTACTAAATTAGAGCCGGTCACTAGGATCCAGTAGGATTTACAGGTACATGAAATACTTTGCAAATATTTTTCCCTTTTAGATCTTGAATTTGCCTGAGTTGATTGATGATTCCAAGTATAAAACCAACCATCTTCGAGTGGAGAATAGAAAAGAGCTTATTAAAATACTATCTGCACGGTAAGCTTGGATCTAGCACATATACATTTAAGAATTAATATGCAATAATAATTTATTTGGTGTTTTTCTGGAGTCTTTTGTGCTTAGTGAGATTGGTTTGTAATTCTCTTCCACTTCCCAAAATTGGGTTAATGGAAAGCTATTTTAAAGCTATGGTTTTCTCTGTTGTTCAAAGACATTTGAAAGTATTTAAATGTTTTATTCAGTACTTAGTCATAATGATATAAATAAGTCACAATGACTTGAATCAGGTTTCCTCTCTGTGGCCTATAACTGTTTGGATTTAGTATATCATACATAATAATAACAACAATAATAATGTAATATTATTTTGGTTTTTTATTGTGTTAAATGCTCCATACATTATCACTTTTATCCCTTATAATCATTGTCTGAGGTAAGTTTTATTATTCTCATCTAACAGATACAGAAAACTTGGCAAACAGAGGGAAAACCAGGAGTTTAATGGTTTTTCTGAATCACTGTGTGAATCAAGATGATGATTCTGGGCCATTGAAAATACCAGATTGAGTTATGAGTCATAAAAGATTAATGTTATTTAATTACAGTGCTTAATTTCCAAATTATCCATTCATGTCAGGTTATGCTTTTGTATTGACTTTGCTTCCGGGGGGGGGAACCCTAAACCCCAAAGTAATAATTCCTACTGTATCATAAAAGTTTCACTTTCATTTGCTTCTAAACTTCTCAATCCATAGACACAGTCTTTGTGGATTTTTCAGATCCAAAATGCCCATATGAAGAGTTCTTCCATATTGAAAATTTGTTTTAATCATACAAATAAATTAGGCCTTTTTGTTCAAATATCATATCCTGTCTTTTGAAAAGGCCTACTTATTTCTATGTAATATCTATCAAAGTTCTAAGAAAATATAATTGTGCTAATGTTGCTTTTTGTTGTTCCCTTTATATTTTGTGATTTGTACATGAAATTATGAGTTAATATTCATTTGCTGATTGTCTCTTTCTGGATTTTAAACATTTCTCTACACAGCCTATCCTCTATGTGCCAAATGATCTTCATGTCAATGGGGACTCTGTGTGTGAGATTGATACCCACAGAACAGGGGAATGAGAATTGTGGCCCCTTTCTTGATCATTAGTTAAATACGATTCTGATTCTACCGCAAAGCCCCAGAGCCCTCAATGATTAACCTTTCTCTACATGAGAATTGGCCATTTATTTCAGCCTTTTGCCTCTTTGCCTCTTAAGCATTTTAAATTCATTTAATTCATTAATATGACTTTTTCCTTTCACACCATGGTTACCAAGTTTCAATAATAGGCACTTGTGAGAATCTTATCAAAAGCTCTTTGATAGTCTAAATAAATTATGTCCACGCTGTGAGAAGAGCAGATCCCAAGAAAAATATAAAAACTAGGCAGATATAAGTATCCTCCCATTATTTAGTTGCCAGCACTTTGATAGCTTCAGGAACCACAGAGTTAAGTCATTGGTTTCCTATGTCCTCAAACTTTTATTCCTTGCTAAATTCTGTTATAAAATTTCATTGTGCAAAGACTTTTAGCAGGATGCATTACAGATTTTTATTCTTCCTCTTTGGGGTGAATTAGTCTGTCGCCTTCTTTGCACTTTTGTACACACAGAAATGGGAGTCTCAGCATTTTTGAACTCTTAAGGTCTGTTATATTTCTATCAGACTCAAGAAGATCAAGTAGTCACAGTACATGGAAGGAGATGGGGTTAGTCTGAAGGGAGGAAATTGGGTAGGGAAAGCGCATCATCACAGATACTGCTGTTAAAATACAGCAGTCTGTTTGGAGGCCAGGTTCATGCTCTCTTCGACTGGTTTGTTGACATTTTTTGGTGCTGTCTTATGACTTGCCATTTTCTGAGTCTCTTCAGCTCAAGTCTCTTCTCCTCTCTGGTGGATCAAACAGTGATGACCAGGGGAGATTAGGGAATTGATTCCTTCTCATTTATTATTTCATCATTTGCTTTTTTGAACAGATTGTCACTGGATTCATTAGTGCTGCTTATTGCTTGGCTTTCAGAAGTCTTTGCTAATGTATTGAAATTTATCATTTTCTTTCTATGATTTTAGGTTTTTTTCTAGTATTCAAAACCTTTAGCCATTTTCTACAAATTATGAGATTAAATGTGGTCTCTTTGGTCTGATATCCAGGGTTTTCCACATCTCATATCATCTTTCCTGCCTGCTTTTCTCCTAATCTGCTTCCATAAAAAGGCCCTGCTCCAGCCACACTCCTATTTGGTTTCTTTTGTTTCTTCTCTGGAATACTTCCCAGACCAAGCGTTCTGTGAAGCACAGTCCCGCCTGAAAGGCCAGTTCTACATCTCCATGAAGCCACCCCTGACATCTCTATCTAGGCTCCCTGTCAGGTGACAGCACCTGCAAGAAAGCAGGCATTCTTTTTGTGCCACGTATCTAGCCATCAGTTTTCAAACACAGGCACACTCCGTGTTCACTGTTGCTGGGAATGAGTTTGCTTAGGGGTCTGCTTACCCCGAACTTCTGGTCTTGTTGTGCATGTTGTTTCTCTTATTTCACAGCCACCTCAGAACTTGTGAATTACTATAAGTTTGTTTCATTAAAAACAAAACAACAATTAGCTCCTAATCACAAAGAGGAAGCAGGGAGAAAAGAAGGAGAGGAACCAGCATTTGGTGGATGCTAAGTACAGGCCAGATAAATATTAATATTGTTATTATGTTTCCCACTTTGCAGGTGAAAATTCTGAAGTTTAGGGAGGTTATTCCTAAGTACAGGCACATAGTAAATAGTTAGAAATGAGACTCAGAAGTTCATATCTTTTCCAAATATCACAATATCAAATTACTTCCCTAAAGTGGTATTTTTGTTTATTTGCTAAGTCAGTATTTACTGAGCACTTACTATGTGGCAGCACTTTCGCTAGCTAACATAGGGATAGAGAAGTGAATGAAACAGACCAATTAAGTTATTGAACAATAATGCAGGGAAGGGAAAAGAAGAGTGCCAGAAGTTGGGAGTGCAGCTGGGGCTTTTGCATTTAGGTTGGTTAGGAGGACCTGTCTGATAAAGTGACATATGATCAGAAGCCTGCAGAAAATGAGAGCAGGAGACTGGAAGACATCTGGGAGGAGCATTCAAGATAGAGGTGCATGGTGGAAGGTTAAGGAGTGGCGTAGAAGACCTGCCTGTAGGTGGGTAAGTAAGAGAAAGGGTGAGGGATGGGGTTAGAGAGAGTGGGGTAGATGATAGCAGATCAGGTAGTGAAAGTCACTATAGCCTTATGAAAAACTTGTAAAATAAAGGAATTCTTTTGATCATAACATGGGTTTAATTATCAGTGAGTTTGTTTTTCTAAACTGAAGATAGAAGTCTGGAGGAAACACTGTACCTGTAGAGACATCAACGTGTTCCAGTAATGTAGAGTCCATAAGGGCTCTTTTCTTACCTGGAGAGACCAGAAGAAATCATGAGTGTCAGTGTTTTTGCTTCTCATTCATTCATTTGCACACCACTTATCAAATATTTATCAAACACCTACTGTGAGCCAGGGACTGTTCTGAATATGGCCTTAAAAAAATAGGCAAAAATATCCTGTCCCCTGGACTTTGATTAGGGCGACCCTTTCAGAGTTTCTCAAAGACATGTTTCCTTTAGTTGTCATTGTCCTTGTTGTTTTGAAACCTGACACAACAACATTTGTTTTGATGAGCCTAAGAAGTTATTCTTCCATATTTTTCATATAACCTTTTCAAAACATTTGTTTTTTGCTTTTGTAAAAAATATTGTAGCTACAGGCTGTGCCTGCTAATCATTTGTTGTCTGTTTTTAAATTTTTTTTCTTTTGAGCATGTTGATATACATGCTACATTTTTTTTTCCCCAGGGTGGTTTGCCAATCACTTCTATAGTAAAAGCATATGTTTAGTGACAGTAGCTACATTACCATGTGGGTGTACCATGTTTTTGCCTGTTGTCTGCTATTAAACACTACATCATAGGCACTTTTCCTCAATGCTCATACACATTTTCCTCAGCTTATATTTTTACTTTAGAAAATCTTTAAAATATGTAAAAATGTAGCAGGATTTGAGAGAATGAATTAGCAGTGCAGATTACTTTAAAAATAAACTCTAAGAATGATGGATTCACTGCATTTATTAAAAAAAAATTCTCACCCTGTAAACCATATTTGATCTCCAAAACTGAAACATTTATGGATTTTGACAGAGTCTGTTCTCTTAAATAGACATATGAATTTCCTCTTGTGCTTCAAAATCTTACTTCGAAATATTTATCTTGAGCAATTTTGAATATTTCCCTCTCTGTCCATGATAAGCATTCATTTAAAATATTGAGAATCAGGTGTTCTCTTTGTGTGCTACAAAACTCATATAGACTTTTAGAAGTGCCTGTTAGAGATGTACATCACTTACCTCATTTGTCTGTTGTTCTTGCTAAGTACACTTTGAGGCTGCTCTCTGATAGCATCGGCCACATTCCGGACAGCAGCTGCCTGTTTTGGTCATCAGCTGTGTTTTCCACAGCCAGCACACACAATTCCCCTCAAGTGCTCTCAGGTGTTGCTATTCCCCAACCATGCCTGTGAGCAAGTCTTTCTTAATTTTTTTATTTTTTAACGTGGAAGACTGTCCCCTTGAGCTTGCCATTTTATCCAGAGTGTTGCAGAAAGTCTGTTTACCCAGCTGCTAGCATTGAAACCTAGGTACAGCTAAAGCATATTAAAAATCCCTAGCTAAAACAAGGAAAAATAAAAATTAATAGAGACTAATTCAGGGCCTTATAAAGCAAAACTCCTTATTTGCAATGCTAAAGAGAAACAAATTCTTAACCCTGTGCTATTGACACACCGGATGAGTGATAGTTAGGCATTCAAGAGAGAGATGGAAAGTTGTGATGTCTGCTGAATCTGAGTAGGATAAAGATAATGTATTAATGATTGGGGAGAGATAATAATAAGATATGAAATGAGGATGAAGGAAAA